TATATTTTCAATTTTTCTACAGTGGAAGAAAACTCGCTTTCTAATTTTATTAGCCTCTCGTGAAGGGCACTATATCCCTCTTGGTTCTTTTTTTTTTTCATAAAGTTAAATTAACAAAAAATAATCAAGAGAGTGATAAATTTATTACTTACCGTCTCCTGAAAACCGGAGAAGAAAAAACTGTTCAATTAACAAATGGAGAAATCGACCCAGACCAAGGTAAGATCTCTGACGCTAGTCCCTTAGGCATTTCCTTAAAAGATAAAAAGGTGGGAGAAATTAGCGAAGTCAAAGTAAATCCACCTTATAAAGTTAAAATTATTAATATAAATAAAAAATAAAAATGTCAATCCGCTTTTTACTTTTTCAAGGAAAATGAGAAGATGAAGGAAACTTTTGTCTGCTAGAAGATTCTGAAAGCATTATCGTACTAGCCGCCGGGCAAAATTTTTCTTTAACAAAAGTTCAAGAACAGAAAATTGGCCGGGACTATTTAAAGGAAAATAGAAACAAAGTTAAAGGAATCATTATTAATAACACCAGTTGGCAAAACATGGGTCTATTACCTGACATCTGTCGCGATCTTGGATTTAAAGTTCCTATTTATACTAGTTTTCACAATAAATTGATTCTCCTTTCCATCCTTCCGCACTTTCGTAACAAGATAATAGTAGTAGAGAAGAGAAGAGAAATAAAAATAGGTGAATTTTCCTGCCATTTCCTTCCACTCAACAGTTATATTATCGGTAATTTAGCTCTCAAAGTCAATCATTCTCAGTATAGTTTCTATTTCCTAGAAGCCTTTGTTTTCAGCAATCTATTAGACAATGACCTCCTTTTTCCCTCTAATTTCCTGCAAGATTTTCAACAATTTTTAACTCAGCAAAAGAAAAACACCTACTTAATCACTAGTTGTCAGGGAATGCACTGAAAGAACGACAACTCGCTTTTCTTTGCGGCCAAAAACTTTCCAAGGATTAACAAACCTCTATTCTTCATTCTTTATGACTTTGACTGGTTACACATTTTAGAACTACTAGAAATAGGAAGAAAAAGAGAAAACAAAGTATGCATTATAGATGAAAAATCAGCCCAAACAGTTAGTCAAATATTAATCAAAAACCCTTTGCAGAAAGTGATTGAAAGTGAAAAAAATAAAAAGGAGGGCAATAAAATTTATCTGTTAATTGGCAATCCAGAGAATATTAAAAAAAAGTTAGATGGTTATTTGTCAAACTTTTCTCCTGAAAAGAGGACTAATTTCCATTTCATAGTCGGCACGCCGCCTGTAATCGGAGGGGAAAGAATATTAGCTAAACTAATCGATTACCTTTATAATCAGGGCGGAGAGATAACTAACCTGAGTAAAAAAGAATACTGCCACCTAGGAGTTAACTTCTATGACTTAAAATTGTTACTCAAATTATTGCAGCCGATTAGGGTAATTACCTTACAAAACAGTTATAAGTATGAAAAATTTGCTCCCCATCTGCCTGGCAATTTTTCTCTAGTTGAAAATGGTCATTGTTTAGACTTTCCAAAACATAAATTCTCTCCACTAAGAGTCAAGGAATCCCTAATAAATCTGGAAGAATTGCTGGTCAAACAAAGAGAAAATCTCGAGCAGACTGGCCTTTTAATTTTTCTACTTATTACTCAATGAGAAGAAAAAAAGTTACAACTAAAAAGTTTAAAAATAGAAACTTTGGCTCTTAGTTCTCTGCTTAACATTTCCAAACTAGAAAACAAGATAAAAAGTTGGTGAACAGATAATTTGGTTCGTGATATAGAAAAAGACGACCCACCTAAAATAGTGAAAAGAACTATTGAAAAACGTCTAAATAAAAAAGTAAATAATTACCTAAGTCTAGAACATGACATTGAACTAGAGGAATCACTCGTCTTACTATTTAACCAAAAAAAAAATCAGGATTAAATGCTTAAAACCTTTTAAAAATTCTATCACTCTCTTAATATTTTCTTTGTCCTGAAATCCGTTGCCGAATTTTTAGAATAATGAAACCAACTAAGCCTAACGGTATAATAATTAAAGCAGTTATACCCAAAACCTTGAGATTAAAAAATGAGGGTTCATCGGGTTTTTCAAGGCTTTTAAACTCTCCCTTTCACTTATTTGCCCTTTGCTCCTCAATCAAATCCATAATATTTTTCTTGAATAAATCAATAACATCAGGATCGATCATACTTTTTAATTTATTCTCATAATCTTTGTATTCTCCCAACTCAATCCACTCTTGGTCTTGCCCAATCTCTCTTTTTATTTCGGAAATAGCCTCATCAACAATCACATCTAATTTTTCTTGTTTCTTTTGGACAATTATCCCTCTCAAATTATTTTCGAAACTAGTAATATCTTCTAATTGCTTTAAACTACCTAATTTTTCTTCCACGCTTTTATAAGGAACTAGAAGTTGAGGAGGTAACTCTTCTTCCCGTACTACTAATTTTTCATGACCTTCTTTTAATTTATTTTTAATTCGGCTAATAGAATAAGTTTTAGAAATGGAAATCACTTCAGACTCTTCTCCACCTCTGGCAATAATTATCTTTTTTAATCTTTCTAGTTCAGCAAGTCTTTCATCCTCATTTTTGTCTTGAAAAAAATCTTTTCAATTAGACTCCAAAATATTTTCGGACAAACCAACTTTTCGGAGAATCTCTTCAATTTCTTTAACAGCATCAAGAATATTACTTTTATTTAGAGCAATAAAATCTTTAATTTTTTGGATAAATTTGTTTTTTAACTCTTCGACTTGTATCAGGTCTTTTAATTTTCGAATTTGGCCCTCCTAATCTAGACCCAAAATGGTCGCTATCTTTTCCGGGTTTTTTTCCAAATCATTGTCCCTCAGAACACTTTTTACCGCTGCAATGGCTTGAATGATTTTTTGCTGTATATTGTCGCTTCCATTGCCTCCTCCTACGACCTTTATTTCTTTTTCGACCTCATTCAATACATTAAGAAATTGGTCGGTGGTTCGACACCTTTCCATTTCCCCAATAATGTCATTCCTTCGTTTTTCACTTAGCACTTTCTCTCAACCCTCCAAATTTTTTAATTTTTGAATATATTTATCCCTTTCTCGGTCAACTTCCTTTTTCTTTTCCACATTAAAAACTTTAGCCTTTTCAAGAATATTTCAAAGAAATCCACCATTGATAAAGCCTTCTTTGTTAATTTTACAAAGTTCCTCTCCTTCATAGAAGCATTGACCTTCTTTCAGTTTTTCAATCCATTTTCCTCTTTCGCTAGGGCTAAAAATCTCATAATGACTTAAATTTTCTAATTCACTAACAGCCATTAATGTTTTTTCACACTTTTTCGGAACACCTTCTTTATGTATCACTCCACAACTTTGGCAAGGCTTATTTCCTAAATTAGAAATTTCTTTCAAGTATTCTTGAGCGTGTTGTCGAGAACAGCAGCGTTTATTTTTATCCCTATTTATTATAAATCCTTTTTCAAATTGTATATTACAGCCTCGTTTAAGGCAAGTAAACATTTCTAGTTTAACATCATTCCCTTTTCCTGTGAGAATTTCATTGGCTCTGTTAATTGCGGCAAAAATATCTGCTGCTTCGGAACTAGTATTTCTATCTGGATGATATTTAAGGGAAAATCTTCAAAAGGCTTTTTTGATTTGATTTTCAGAAGCACCGGGGTTTATGCCTAACCAGTCCCAACATTCTTCCGTTTTTGTCGGCATTATTATTTTTCCATTTTCATCTCTTCTTATTTTTATTTCCATAACATTAATATTTACCGTTTAAATTTTTGGGGATAATTATTTTCAATTTTATTTTCGTATTCTGAACCTAAACTTTGTCGCAATTGTTCTTTTAGTCAATTTATTTCTTTTTGTTTAGTTTCCAACTCGATTTCTGCCCCTTTTTTTACAATTCTATTATATTCTTTTAGGGTGTAATAATTTTTTTCAGATATATGTCATTTTTTTTTGTAAAAGTTAATTCATTGTTTTTCTTGTTCTCGTTCTAAAGAATGTTCTATTTCCCTAACTCATTCATCCAATACCTTTATTTCTTCTTTTTTAAATCTCATACAGTTATCATCAGGTCTCCATCAAAGTCCAACTCCTCGCTGACTCGAGTCATATTTCAAAGCCATTTCGGAACTGGCAATTTCAGAAAGAAAATTAAGAAATTCTTCAGCATCATTAATGGATAATTCTTTTTTTTTTTTTTTTTTTCATTGTTTATATTTGTAAGATACAACTTCAAAACTCACATCTTCAAGAAAATATCTAGTAAACTCGCTTTCTCCTTGTCTTTTGATGTCAATTGATTGAAACTCGAAATTGATAAAAACTGGAATATTTTTTAAATCTTCTTTGGATGTCTCCCGAAACATTTCTCTAAACTCATCTTTAAACTTATAGTTTCTTTTTCTTCTTTCGGATATTCATTCTTCAAGGACATTATGATACTTATTTTGCACTTCTATTTTATCAAGTTCATTGATTTCATCATCGTCTACATCAATGATAGTTACAAAAAATCTATTAATAGTTCCTTCCTCTTCTTCAATAAGTTTAAAGTAATCATCTCAAAGAGGTAAATTTCTTTTTCTGCTTTCATCTTCATTTAGCCAGTTTTTAAAATCTCGTAGTTTGTAATTGTGGTTAGTCATAATATTAATAATTAATTTTTTTTTTTTTTTTACTTATATCCTTTTCTAAATCTATTTTACAAAAAAAAAAAAAAAACAGTGGGGCAAACTACTCCTTTATAATGATTTTTTAGTGATATATATTTTGTCCGAATACCTATAAACACCAACAAATATTCTCCCCTCAGGGAGGCATCAGAGACCAACAAAAAAGAAAGGATTTTAGTCCACCCCTACCTTTCTACTCGGTTTTTGCTCCTCTGTTTAAAAAAAAGACAATTTTCATTTTTTTATAAAATAATAATATAGATGATAAAGGAAATGAGTCACACGGGGATGTGAGTTTTGACTTAGATCGAGGTCGGTAATTATAGCAATAAACCAGTTTTGAAAAAAATCAAGACAAAGAAACTAACGAAATTCCTGTTAACTTGCTAAATAGCAATGCAGGATACAACTACGCAAGAATATAATTCTTAACTAGTTCTTATCGGTTCGCCCAATTCGAATCGGTTCGATATAAAATTTGGGTCAATTATTAAAGTTTGTTTAATTTACTTGATGATTGTCTATTAAAAAAAATATCCTACCTATTGAAATGTATCTGTTTATTAATACTCATTAGGGAAATAAAATAATAAACTAAGTTGTAGATAATAATTACTAGCCATCTAGGGACATGGGTTCAATCCCATCATCTCCACCATTATACCATGTCTATTAAGTTAGTATTGGTGTGTTCGCAAAATCTGTTCTGATATTTCTTGCTTATATAATCTAAGAAGCAAAAATATTAGGAGGAGAAGATAAGGCGAGGGTGAGGTTATATGATATTTGATTATTTAGGACTTAGTAAGGATGATGAGTGGCATCATTATTATAATAGTGTGTGTACTGGTACTGTAAATCTCTACATTAATATAGTTACTTACTTTTAAAAGGTTTTAAGCATTATAAAGAGGGAGGGGGATTTTTAAAGGGGGATATTGAAATAATAATTAACGGAATTCTCTTTAACAAACTTTAAAAATTAGGCATTTTCTCCGGTTAGTATTAGATATAACCTAAGTAGTTTGTTTATTTAAGTTAAAAAGACTGCTTGAGTTTTTTTTTTTTTTTTTTGTAAAGATAGGTGAGGGTGAAAAGAGTAGCTATTGACCCTAAACCTAATAGGGGAAACAGGAAGCCCTTTCCTGAGGCAGTGGGGGGAGTAGTGGACTGAGAAGGAGAATTATCTTTTTGTTCTTCTTCAGATTTGTCCCGACGAGTTAACTCAGACTTTATTTCTTGTTCCATTTGGTCAATAATGGAACTATATTGCTGATAAAGATTAGCTTTTTCTCCTTTGGTAGCTTTTTGATACTCTTGTACCTTTTGCTCTAAACTAATTAAGTCTTCTTTGCTACTATCACTAGCGATAATAGTGCGTAAAGTAGTAACTAATTCTTGGACTGAATCACCTTGATTTTGGGAATTGATTATTTCTAAAGCACTGGCTACTCGCTTTTGATGATTATCTATTAAGGATTGATTATGATCTTGATAAAGTTCAGGGTCTTCTTTAATGGCCGAATAAATCTCATTTAGTTCTTGTTCATCTTGGGCTTTCATTAACTCTTGTAAAGAAGTCTGTCTCTTTTGCTGCTTGCTTTCTAAGTTACTAATTAATAGGTCTGCTTGCTGCTGATAACTATTTACTGATAAGTAAGCTTGCTTTTTAAGAGAACCATCTGGGGCTTGCTTGAAAGCCTTTAAAATCTCAAAAAGACTATCTGAATCAGTATCTTGGGTTCCTGTCTTTACTTTACTGATTAGTTTTTTTACTTCTTCTAACAGTTCTGAATCAGTAATAGGTTCTAAAACTAGATTGAATTCTTCTGAACTTAAATTGTATTCTTGTTTTATTTGGTTTTTGTTTTGGGTTAGTTTCTGTTGGGATGGGTTTTCCAGAGGAGACTCTGAACCTTTTTTTTCTTCTATTTCTCTTTTTGCTTGATTAAGAACGGGAGTAAATAAAAAACCAACTTCTACTTTTTCAATTTCATCAATAAAATATTGTTTTCTGTTTTCATCTAGCAAGTTTCAACCATTTAGTTTCTTTAAAACGTTTGTAATATAATCTGCTTTTTCATTTTTTCAATTCCTATTTCTCACTCGGGCTTCCAAGATTTTAGTTAATTGCCCCAGTTTTTCACTACTGATATTTTCGATGGCATTTGTTTTCGTATTGCTTCCAATATAGGCATTTTTTATCCTTTCTTTTTCGGTAGGGGACAAAATTGTTTCTGGTTTAGCCTCGATAATGCTTTCAATTACCTCTAAAAATTGCGAATTGATAACTGGTTCTTCGGCAATATTAAAAGTAAGTGCCTCTATTTCGACATTTTCTAATTCTTTAATTAAACTTTTTAAGGCGTCTTCCCGAGCCGAACAAAAAGGATTACTGAAAATGATTCTTGAAATTTCGATATTTTCTGAGCACATTTTCTTAATTGCTTCCAAATTATTATTTGCTATTTCTTTACACCTGTCTTTATGGCAAAGGAAAAATCCTGTTTTACCAAATTCTCTTCCACCTCCTAAACTTTTCCGAATTTCCCCTGCACAAATTCAACAGCCATGATCAGCACAATAATCTCATTTTCGATTGTGAATTCCATCCAAATATTTATAATTTGTGCATCCTCTTTTGTTATTAGTTTTTATACAATTTTCGTTACTTTTTTTCTTTCAGTTAAAAATTTTAAAATCCATAGTAATATTAAATATTTATTATAAATCCGTTCTACGGCAATTAAGCCAAATTATGCCCAGTTAGGAACGGATTGATTTTTAATTAATTATGCTAACTAGACATCTTTTTCCGGGTTCCATAAACTTATTACTTACATATATCTACTATAATTAAATATTCTATAACGTAAAATCTACATTTATACAAATAAAAAGTTCAAACTTTTTATCTATATGAAACATTTTAGCACTTTTTAAAAAATAAAGAATAATATAAATTACTCTTTATTAAACCTTTATACATTAAAATAAAAGATTATTCTGAAAGTGAGAAAAAGTGATTTTTTTAAAATTATTCCGCTATTAAAAATCACATTAGCAAAAAGAAAAATTATTAAAATATATCAATAATGGCACAGAAGGCTAGTCCCTATGCAATTCGTTTAGGTTGTAACCAAGATTGAAATAATTATTTCTTTTCCGAAAGTGGGGGGAAGAATTTTTATTGAGTAAAAAAAGATAAGTTAATTCGTGATTACTTTAACAAAATTTTTCCCGATACTGCTCAATTAAAAATTGAATACACTAAAAGCACTGTTTTTATTTATCTTTACATCCCAGAAATTAACTTAGTACTAGGAGAAAATAATCATAATTTAGATAAAATACTTAAAGAGGTCTATAAACTAATTAATGATAGTAAAATTGCAGTTAAAATAAATCTGATTGAAGTAAAAAGACCCTATACCAACGCCCAAGCAGTCTCAAACATGATCGTCGGTCAACTAAAAAAGCGACTCAAATCTCGACAAATCATCAGAAACCTAGAAAGAAAATTCGCTGAAGAAAGAGAAATAAAAGGATGAAAAATTTTTATTAATGGTCTTAGTGATGGCTCTGAAAATTCCCAGAAAAAGAAAAATGCTCATGGCCGGATGAAATCCAGTAGCATAGTCAGTGACATTAAAGAAGGAAGAGGAAAAGCACTTATAAGCCGAGGAGTAATTGGCGTAAAGGTTTTAATCTATAAGGGAAAAATTTGAAAAAAAAGAAATCATGTTAATACCGAAAAAAACTAAATATCGTTTCAATCATTCTTGAAAATATGAGGGTCATGCTAAAGGAAATGCAACCCTTACTTACGGAGATTTTGGCTTGCAGGCCCAAGAGGGGACCTATATTAGCAATAGAGCAATTGAGGCAGGACGAAAAGTTATTAGTCCTTATGTCAAAAAAAGTGGTAAAATGTGAATCAGAATTTTCCCCCATTTAGGAAAAACTAAAAAACCGCTTGAAGTAAGAATGGGTTCTGGTAAAGGTTCTGTAGAAAATTGAGTAGCAGTAGTCAAAGCTGGAACAATAATTTTTGAAGTTAAGGGATTGCCGAAAGATATTGCCTACAAAGTTTTAAAAAAAGTTGGTGATAAACTACCTAAACCTAAAAAAGATAATGATAGAGTAAGAAAAGGCAAATATTATAAGATTGTTGAAAGAAATGAATAAGAAAGAAATTTCCACTAAATCAAAAGCAGAAAAAAAGCTAACGAAAGAAGAAATAATAACTAAACTTCGTTCCGCATTAATGGTTCTCCAAATGAAAAGCAAAATGGGACAGTTAGTTAAAACTCATCAAATAAAAAAAATAAAAAAAGATATTGCCCGCTTACTCAGCAAAAATTACTTGCCTAAAGATAAAGAAAATAAAATTTAAATAATATATGAGTCAGACATTTATCGGAACAGTAACAGGTCTAAAAAGTTTTACTGAAAAATTAATACTTGGTAACCAGACGGAAAAAAATGAATGCATTCAGTGCAATGGAAGTTTTCAGGAAAAAGGCAAGCAAGGCGAAACAATAATTTGAGAAATCAAAGGATTTAAAGATAAGTTTTTTTGTTCTCGAAAATGTATTAGAAGTTGACTAAAAAGTAATTTGAACCAGGAAGTAAGAGCCAAAACAGTAACTGTAGAGACATTTTCCACTAAAATACATCCTAAATATTTTAAACCAATTAAAAGAAAGAAAGATTACCAAGTTCATAACGAAGAATACAATTTAAAACTAGGAGAAAAAGTATTAATCAAAAGCACCCGTCCCTATTCTAAAACTAAAAGATTTATAGTAATAAAAAAAGAGAATAAAGAAGGGGGTAAGAATACAAAAAAAGGCAAAATAATGACCAGTCATAATGTGATTAAATATGAAAAATATAAATATAGAGCAATAAAAAAATAATAAATGTTACAAAACGAATCAATTTTACGAGTGGCAGATAATTCTGGAGCCAAAAAAATATTAGTAATCCGTTGCTTAGGAGGCTCCAATCGCCGATACAGCAGAATTGGTGACTTAGTAATTGCCACGGTGAAAAAAACTGAACCAAACTCAGAAAAAGTAAAAAAGGGGCAAATAGTAAAGGCCCTAGTAGTTACTACACGCCGATATTTCCATCGCCAAAATAATACTTGAATAAGGTTTAACGACAATTACGCTGTGTTAATTGAAAAACAAGAAAAAGAAGGTAAAAAAAATAAATGATTACCAATCGTAATCACTCGTGTTTCCGTCCCTCTATTGGCTGAATTCAGCCAGTGAGGACACAAAAAAATATTCTCCTTAGCACCTGAAATTTTGTAATAATATGATAAAAACTAAATTAAAAAGTGGCGACCAAGTAAAAGTTATCAGTGGAGAGCACCGTGGAACAATCGATTATATTTCACGCCTAGACCCTAAAAAACAAGTAGTTTACTTAAAAAAAGCCAGCCGAAAAAAATACGATAAATCTACTCCCGATAGCAAAAAAAAGAGTGAAAAAAAAGAAATTATGGTTCCAATTCACATTTCAAATGTCGCTTATTGACTAGAAGACAAGAAAAAAACTACTAAAATAGGTTTTAGAGAGATAGAAAAGAAAAGGGGTGAGAAAATGGAAAAAGTAAAAGTACGGATTTCTCGAAAGTTTAAAGATAAGCACAGTAAAAATATATTAATAAATTAAAAATGGTAAAGTGTTGATTTTTTGATTGTAAAAAAGAAGCTGAGGAAGAGGAAAATTTCTGTTCTGCCCATGAAGAATGAGCAGGCAAATTCTGTGAAGCCTGTAATCAGGAAATTGAACTACCGGAAGGTCAAAGTACAATTAAAATTGATATGCTCTTTAAAAAAAATGTGACCCCGTTAGTTCTACAAAAATTACAGGGAAAACTGCCGGCTGAGTTTCAGGCTGATTTTAGTGAATTTCTGACTCAATACAAATTAACCACTGAGGAACAAAAGTTACTTGATAAAACCGAAAAGTTAATGAAAGAATTTTTCACTAAAAAGGGAGGTAGGAGAAGTAATCCACTTAACTTTTGACTTTGTTCGAATTGTGATTCCGAATCTCATGAAATACAAAGAAAATATTTATATGACCCCGATTTTAAAAAACTTTGGGGAAAACTTTCTGAAAGAGATAAAGAAGCGGAAAAAATTACGATTAAAGTTGAGGAAAATCTAGGCAAAGAAGAATTTAGAAAATTTGGTAAAGAAATTGAAGAGGCCATACAGAAAAATAATAAACCAACAGACCCCGGAAAGGGACCAACCAACAATAATTCAGCCGAAATCGCTCGGTTACAGCAAGAAATTATCCGATTACAAACTCAAATCACAAACTTAGAAAATAATGAACCTAATTCTCCCGACCCTGAAAATGAAGAAATTGAAAGAGTTAAAAATGAATTAAAGGAAACTAAAAGAAAATTAGCCGAATTAAGTGGAAAAAATTCTCCTGGAAGTCCGGCCAAAACTCCGGAAAATCCTAATTTGCCACTTTATCTTAGTCTTGCCGCAGTAGGAATAGTTTTAGTTGCCGTTCTTGCTTTTTTCCTAATTTCAGCAAAAAAAAAAAAAAAAAATAGTTTACTACTAAAAAACATTTACTAGTAATTTTTCGTATGGAGTAAATAAGTATGCTTGCCTATTATGAAAGTTACATATATATGGTTAGTTAAACATTCAAAAAGGAGCGAGAAGTAGGGAAATTTTAACGATGACCGAATTTTTCTCCTAAAAATTTAGGAGTTATTTTCAGGCTGTTTCAATAGTAAAGAGAAGTAAACGAACAAAAATAACATTATAAAGAATGAGTAATACAGAGGAGAAAGCACCAAAAATTTTGCTAGGTTTAGAGGTTCATATTACTCTTAACAGTCAAAAAAAAATTTTCAATTGGGAGAATACTTACCGGGGCGATATTCCTCCTAATAGCCAAGTAGGACCATGAGAATTAGGTTATTTAGGAGTTTTACCAATTATCAACCCCGAAGTTATTTTGCTAGGATTAAAATTAGCTGCGGCACTGGAAATGAAAATTAGCAAAGTCATTCTTTTTGACCGCAAAATTTATAACTACTTCGATTTACCAAAAGGTTATCAAATTACTCAACAAGAATTTCCTTTTGCCGGTTCCGGTTATTTGCCAATTATCAAAGAAAATAAGGTTGAAAAAATACCAATAAAAACTCTGCAATTAGAGGAAGACACTGCCAAAAGCACCTACGATAAAAACGGAGTTAAATTAGACTTTAATCGGGCTGGCAACCCCCTAGTCGAATTAGTTACTGAACCAGTTTTTTCGCAAGTAGAAACAGTCTTAACCTTTATTAAACAACTCCAAAACCTTTTACGCTATTTAGATATTTCCGAAGCCAGAATGGAAAGAGGACAACTACGTATTGACTTAAATTTTTCCCTCCAATTAGGGGAAAAATATTCTACACCGCGCTATGAAATCAAGAATCTTAACTCATTAGCTAACCTTGAAAAAGCCTTAAAGCATGAGATTAAAAAACACCAATCATTATTTTCCCAAGGAAAAATTCCTCCTACTAGTCAAACACTAGGCTTTGATGAAACTAAACAAATTACTGTCACTCATCGTGAAAAAACTGACTATTTTTATTTGCCGGAATCTAATATCCCCCCCATTAAATTAAAAAATTCAGAAATCCAGAAGATAAAGAAAAACTTACCAAAACTGCCCTGAAAATATTGAGAAGAAATAAAAGAAATAGACCTGGAAACCGCCAATAAACTTCTCCAAAAGCCACTCTTGTTAAAAATCTTTAATTTTTTAGAAAAGAAAAAATCCTTATCAAAAGAGGAATATAAGAACTGACTAACTTTTTACCTTAATTACTTGACCTCTTATTTTAGGAATGGGAAGATTGATTTATTTAGTAAAAAATGAAAATCTCACTGTGAAATTTTTCGCCATTGAAAAGAAAAAAAGTTAGAGAACGAAGAAATAAAAGCAATAATTAAAGAGTTAATAGAAACTAAAAAAACTTTTGCTGCACTGGCAAAAAAGTATGAAAAAAAAACGGCAGTTAATGAAAATTTAATTGAAAAGGAATTAATAAATTTGTGAAATGACGAACTATCTCAAATGATTAAGGTTAATCAACAAAAGGTCCAAAACTATTTACTTGGAAAAGTGCGGAAAAAGTTTCCTGACTATTCGGTAAAAGAAATTATTTTAACCATTGCCAGTTTTCTCAAAGAAAAATTCTAGTATAGTTAATGGCATTAATGATTTATTGATTAACCTTAATGGTTATATTACCGATTAGTTATTTACTTTGATGTAAAAAAACTTGACGTCCAGTTTTGGGACAATTATCGTAGCGGTTCTAATAACTGGTTTAATTCTACCTGGTAAACTGGCTTTCTCTATGTTAGAAAAGGAACTAAAAGGAGTGGAGGAAAAAATAAGGAGTGAGGGCTGAATGGAAACTGGAAAAGATTGAGAAAGGAGAGCCTGGGAAAAACTAGAAAAAGTTTTAGAAAACACAATGAAGAAGGAAACGTTGATTTATCTAGATTTATTTTAGCGTTTACTACTTCTTCTACTAATCCCCAACTCCCGAAAGAATTACAAACTAAACTAAAACATATTCAACCATTCTTAGACAAATATTTTTGGTCTATTTTTCTTTTTTCAACCGGAATAGAAATTGCTATATTTTTACTAATTAAGAAAAGCAAAAGGCGGAAAAGAAGTTAAAGAATGATATTCAATTTTTTCTAATAATTCAAGCGAAGCCTCAATTATTAGGGAGAGTTTAAAAACTCCCCAAGATTAAGAAAAAAATTATGTGGTAAGAATAAATTCGCTAGTCATAATACTCTTTAATGAGGGGAAATAGAACCTAAATTCGCTTTCCCCATCACTTGTTCTTTATTTGCGACTATTCTTCCTCCTCTTCTTCACTACTACTGTTAGTTTTCATGAAATAAACAACAGCACCAAGAATAACAAGGACAATTAAAAAAATTATAGTAATTCCTTTCCAAGTACCTCAAAAATTCGGTTCAGGACTATTATTAGGATTATCGTGTCTATCATTTTCTTCCATTTTAGAAATCCTTTCACGAACCTCTTTAATTAATTTGTCAACTGTTCCTTTTCCTTCTTGGCTTAAACTATTGTAAACTGAACTATTACTACCACTAGCCTGATATTTTTCCAAACCAGTCAATTTTGTTTTGAGAGCATCTTTCTTATCATTACTACAATAATCTCCATCAGTATTCAAATCAACTTTATCTAAGAAATGCTTGATTAAATCTTTTAATCCTTCTTCCTCTGTGGAAGTTTTATCTTTCAACTCTATCAATAAATACTTCCGAGGGATTGCCTTTTCTTTTATTTTTCCTTTCTCCGTTGCATCAAGTTCTGTATTACTTTCTAATTCTTGCTTAATCTCATCTAAACTCTCCTTAGTGTTCGCATTTTTTATTTTATCATTGATAAATTTCTTTATTTTTGCTTCGGATTTTCCTAATTCTTCCAAAATTTTCTCAACATAACCCTTGATATCAGCATCATTTTCTCTTACTTTGAGAGCGGCTTTTCAAGCATCATCGTTAGTTGTTTGATAACCACGCAATTTAATTAAAACATCATAACCTTCGCCTGAAGTTTTTCCCTTCCCTTTATTGGCCTCTTTAATAATTGTAGTCACTCTTTTAATTTTTTTAACATCAGTTTCAAAACCTTCAATTATTTTATTGATAGTAGCATCATCTTCTTTGTTAATTGCAGTTTTAACCGCTTGTCTTAAATCCTCTTTAGCATTTTTAAGTTCCTGATTATCACCTTCTTTAGCAGACTGGTAAACCTTATCTGCTCAACCTTCTCCGCCATCTTGGACTTTTTCATTAACGAATTTTCAGGCCTTTCCTTTTTCACTTGGCGAAGTTGCCGCCGCATCATTTTTGAAAGGATTTAAACTAGTTTTTGTAACATTAGCATCTTTCAAAAGTCCAACTAAAATTTTTAATTGGTCGAAAATTGCCTCAGTTCGGTTATCATCGCTATCTGTCAAATCTTTAAATGCTTTATAAGCCTTGTAAGCATTAGAGGAAGCATCCGTATACTTTACAATTTCATCATCAATTTTTTGGTCCAAAGTTTTATCACCAGTCCGTCCAGAAATTTCTTCCAGTTTTTTTTTTATCCAAGTTTTTTCCAACCCTGGAAATTCAGTTTTTGCAGCTTCAAGTTTAGCTTTGGCCTCTTTAGCTTGGGTATCAGTCACCGAACTATTACTCTTAGAATAATCAACTTTTACTAATTCTAATACTTTCTTAGTCTTCTCATATTCAGCATCAAAATCAGTTTGTTTATCACTATATTTAATTAAGCCCCGAGCCTGGTGAGCATATAAATCCAATAAATCTACTAACTTGTCCGCCGAATCGGTTTCTTCAAAACCAGCGTCGTGGAAAGCAACCTTAACTGCCTCGGTGTATTTTTCGTCATCCGTACCCTTACCCTTAACCTTATCAGCAATGTCAAAGAAATGTTTAGTTGGAAGCATATCCGTTCCACTAACATCTTTTCCATTATTTTTTTTCACTGATATCTTGTCAACTAATTTTTCCACCCGTTTGCTTGTATTATCGCCTAATTTATATTTAAGACTATTAGCGTCAGTGGTGTCCTCAAAAATATCGCCCGGCTGAAAACCACGACACTTTTCCGGAGTGCTTTCGCTATCATTAGTAAATAATTTACGGAAAATATCTATATTTTCTTTTCTACTGTCTTTTGATAAAGGCTTAGCTGCCATACCACTAAAACAAAGATATAATTTTCCACTAACGTCTTCACCTAATACACCATCTCCATTATCACTTTTTCCAATCATCTGAGTGCTGTTGTCAATCATTTCAAATCCTCTATACTTTTTATTTTGAATAAGCCTTTTAACCTCTATCACATTTGTTTTTGCATCGGGAACATCAACACCATCATCATCAGTTTCCACTAATAATCCCTTGTGAGTGCTATCCCCAAAATTAACATTAGTAGTAGCATCGCCTAAGTTCCGAGACCAAATTATAAAACCGTTGGCATTCGCTCTTAGGATTTCCCCGATTGTTTCAAATCCACTTTCTCTCCAAATTAAAATTTCGGAAAGTGTTTTTTTACCTGCTTCAATAATGAACTTATAAAAAGTCCCTCCATCCTCAGAACTCCCATCCTTTTTAACTGACGGAACATTGTCCAAAGCATAAATTTTAGCCTCAATACTAATATTATCTGCTGCCTTAACCTTTTGAAAATCTACTAAACTTTTGATTCATCCTTTAATATCATCTACACTAGGAAGCGTGCTATTAACTTCGGACTCCATAATTTTCTCTTCAATATCTTCAAGAACTTTTCCAATATTTTCTAAGACTGTTCTGCTAGCACTTAAATCTCCGGCAGGATCCATAACAAAATCAGCAGCATCAGTGCCACCACCATTCGGAAAAACATTAATATCTAAATTATCTCTGAAACTAAATCCGCCGGCAAAATTATCATCATTGAGAGTAATAATATCAGTTTCACCATTAATCACTGGAAATGTATTATCATCCGTACCTGCTATTACCCCTTTTAACAAAATAACTGAAACTTTTTTATCTTTTATATTATCTCCGCTCCCAACAGTAGAGTCCACTAACCCCCCACTTCCTCGGAATCTCGCCAAATGAGCCAGTCTCGCAGCTTCTTTAAAATTAGTCTCGACTCTAATGCCCTTAACTGCATTTGCTTTAATGTTACCAATGCCAACTTTTATATCATCACCGCCTTTAATAACACTATCATCTCCTCTTAACCCACAAAAATAAGCATTATTAATCTCAAATTCTACAATACCTCTGTTTCAATCTGGACTGGTAGGTGAAGTGCCGCCCTTTCTATGGAGTTTAATATTATTTTTGTCTTTTATTTCAAACTTTAGGAATTTTATTGCCATATATAATTTATTTTAATTTATTTTAATTTATTTTAACTCGCAAATTTTTAGCCTTTCACAGGCATAAACAGCATATTTGGCAATTAAAGACAAAAAAACAAAAGTTTAACTTTTAAAAACTCAGATTACTTCTCTCCTTCCTTATTCCAACCACGCTCTTTTAAGAACTTTTTCACTACCTCTCTTTCTTCTGGAGTTGTCTCTTCTTTCTCTTTGTGGGGCTGATAATCAGGGTCACCTTCGTCCTTAACCGGCATTAAAAATAACTTACTCAAAAAGTATTTTAAGGCATAAGTCTCGGCTGAACCCTTGGCTTTAGCTAGGTCTACATTGCTGCCACAAGCCCAAAAGTTAAAAAACAATTTATCCTTAGGCTCCTCAATATCAATTATTGCTAATCTTTTGAGGTACTTAACAAAGTGCTCTTTGCCTTCCCGTTCATGAATAAAAGGTTGAGAAATATCATCACTTAATAAGATAGTTAACTTGTATTTATTTAATAAAGGTTTTAATAACTGTAAAACTTGTAATTCATTAAAAAACTTATATTTCTGAAATTTATTCTCCTCAGTGCGAATAAGTTCTTTGATTTCTGTTTGGATAAGTTGTAATTTAGCAAAAATGTTCTGCTTTTCCATAGAATATTTTTAATCGAAGTAGATAGAAAGAATACTTTTTGAGCATTGCATTTGCTAAATTAACTTTTTCGATAAGAAAGTTTTTAAAATCTTTTTTTAGTATAAAACAGTTTTTAACTGCCAATATCTCAACTTCCAATTGGCTTTTCTGTTTCATACTGCGTACCCGCTTCATTTTTTCCAAGTCAGAAAAAACAAATTCTTGAGTTTTTTTTTCATAATTTAAACTTTTTTAAATCATCTTCTTTAAAAGGTGCTTCTGACTTGGCTTCATCAAAAAAAATCAAACCTGTTGAGGGAAAATTTTTGAAATAAGGATTACCTTCTTCAAAAAAATAATTAAAATTCTTTTCGTGTCTTCAAACATTCATATTTTGCCCTTTGGAGTCCACTCTAGTTTCATAAAAGACCAATTTTTTGAAAAATTTTTCTAATATTCTTTCCCACTCTTTAGGAGTTAATTGTAAGCCTCTTTCATCCTGAGCCACTAGACTTTTTGAATTTGACTTGAAAAAAAACCCTTTCTCGATTTTTATGTTTAAAGGATTACTATGATCAACTTTTAAAATTTTTTTTTCCAACTTTCATTGTCCTGGATTGTCAATAATTTCCTGAATTAACGCTTTTCTTATTTTCTGATAATCATTTTTTACAAAAACTCCCTTTTCATAAGTAATATCAGGGTCGTTTTCAAAATCCGTTATTGTCCCATTATAGTCGCAAATATAGTAATTTGAAATATCACTTAATATTCTATCTCTCAAAATTCCGGAAAGTTCTTTTTTTATTTTTGCAGGTCCGTCCGCCTGTTTAATCTTTTCTTCTTCCTCTGGAGTTGGATTTTCTATTTTATCCAAGGCTTCTTTTTTCAGTTGATCGAGGGCAGAGTCATTATTAGGGGGAGGAGGCAAATCAGAATCATCAGAGTCGTTAGGAGACGGAGGAGTTGACGATGGTGGCTCAGGAAGGTCAGGAGGAAAAGGATTATCTTTGCTCGGTGGGGTAGGAGGATTAGGATTTTTTCCTGGACTAGGTCTAGGCTCCTCCACTTTTATTCCCAATTCCTTATTTATTTCTTGAATATCTTTTTCTAGTTCTTGAATAATACTTTCTTGCTTTTGGGTATCAGTATTATTCTCACCTTTACCTAAATTACCAATTCGGGTTTGTAATTTAGGAATAAGAGTTTCTATTTTTTGTTTTCGATTTTTATAAGTAGTTAGTTGGCTTTCCAACTGAGTAATTTCAGTTTGTAAACTATCTTCTGGGGACTGTTCATATTCAGTTCTTTTGGTTTGTAAAGAAGTTTCAGTTTGGTTAATATTAGTAGTTAGAGTAGCCAAAGCAGTTTGGATTTGGGCTAAATGATTTTGGAGTGATTGAATTCTTTCTTGGGTAGTAGGAGTAGAGGTTTTTTTTCAGCCCCCTTTTTTAGGTCAAACTAAATAAGCGGTTGTTCCTATACTGACTACTACTAGTATTCCAATAATTAGGTAAATTATAGTTTTTTTTTTATTTTTTTCACTTACCATAGCAGAAAGTTGACATTAGTACATCAAATTAATAATTTTTTTCAAATGTCTCTCAAAACTAGACAGAACCTTTTTATAAAATATTTATTTTCCATCCGCAGATTCCCCTACGGATACCTTGTTACGACTTAGCCCCAATCGCCAATCCTACCCTTGTCAACTACCTCCCTTGCGGGTTAGTTAGTTGGTTTCAGGTATTACCGACTTTCGTGACTTGACGGGCGGTGTGTACAAGACTCGAGAACGTATTCACCGCAACATGGCTGATTTGCGATTACTAGCAATTCCGACTTCATGGAGGCGAGTTGCAGCCTCCAATCCGAACTGAGGTTAGTTTTTTGCGATTGGCTCCCCCTCGCAGGTTGGCAACGCTTTGTCCTAACCATTGTAGCACGTGTGTCGCCCAAGGCATAAGGGCCATGACGACCAGACGTCATCCTTTCCTTCCTCCTGATTACTCAGTTCAGACATGCCTAAGCACATCTTGCAGTTTACTTAGAGTCCCCAACTTAATGCTGGTAACTAAGTACAAGGGTTACGTTCGTTATAGGACTTAACCATACACCTCACGGCACGAACTGACGACGGCCATGCAGCACCTGTGTAATTCAACTAGGTTTCCCTAGTTTAGTATTGCTACCTTACATGTCAAGCCTTGGTAAGGTTCTACGCGTTGTATCGGATTAAACCACATGCTCCACTGCTTGTGCGAGTCCCCGTCAATTCCTTTGAGTTTCACTCTTGCGAGCGTACTGCCCAGGCGGAGTGCTTATCGGGTTACCTAGCGACACTGAAAATCAAGTTTCCAACATCTAGCACTCATCGTTTAGGGCGTGGACTACAAGGGTATCTAATCCTTTTTGCTCCCCACGCTTTCGTGCCTCAACGTCAGTAACAGAATAGTTAACTGCCTTCGCCTTTATCGGTGTTCATCCATATATCGTCACATTTTACCGCTCCACATGGAGTTCCGTTAACCTCTCCTGTACTCGAGTATAGTAGTATTAACAACTTCCACGAGGTTGGGCCTCGATTTCCCGCTGCTAACTTACTATACCGTCTACGCACCCTTTACGCCCAATAATTCCGGATAACGTTCGCCACCTATGTCTTACCGCGACTGCTGGCACATAGTTAGTCGTGACTTTTTCAGTGTATTTCTACACATAGAAGTTTACAATCCGTAGACCTTCCTCCTTCACGTAGTATCGCTTGGTCAGACTTTCGTCCATTGCCATAGATTACCCACTTCTGCCTCCCGTAGGAGTAGGACCGTATCTCAGTTCCTATGTGGCCGTTCACCCTCTCAGGCCGGCTACGCGTCATTGCCATTACCTTGGTAGGCCATTACCCTACCAGCGCGCTGATGCGACTTATCCCTATCAATTAGCGAAAATCTTATGACTCCCTTTCCTGGCCGAAGCCAGAATATGCGGTATTACTGCAATCATAGTTTCCTATGACTACCCCTTCGCTAGAAAGGCACAGTTTCCCATGACTATCCCCCACTAATTGGCAAGTAAGATAAGCATTACTCACCCGTTCGCCGCTAAAAGCAGTATTGCTACTACTTTCCGCTCGACTCGCATGTGTTAGGCATACTACCAACGTTAATCCTGAGCCAGGATCAAACTCTTAAAAAATTAACTGTAAGAATTCACTTACAAACAAATGGTTCTGTCCAGTTTTCAAAGACACATTAATTGTTTTTTTGGTTAGGAGAACAAGTAACCTATATATTTTTTTAAGAAGAAATGAAACTAATAATTCAAGTTTTATTAAATCACTTTCTAATTTCTTTTTATTAATAGTTTAATTCTGTTATTCAATTTCTGTTTTCCAAGGATAATTTTTAGGCAATCACTTTTACACACTTACCATATTATTTCTTATATATTTCTATTTTAGCAAATAATTCCTGTTTTTGAGGTTGCTGGAAATTCATGTTTCGCTACTTTGCCCTTTTATTAAGACCTCTTAGCGAAAAAACTTTGTCGGAAAATTTACTACTCTAATTCTTCACTTGGTCCTTTTCTTTATTTTTTTACTTAGATGTTGAGCACGTTGTTCGTTTGCCACTTTTTGATAACTAGGCAGTCTATTTTTAAGAAAACTCTCCTCGGAAAAACAATTCTTCCAATTCTTCAACATTTTTGACGTAGAAAACTCGTAATTTTTCTCTTATTTCTTGCGGAACTACTTTTTCATAATCCTCTTTTTGTTCGGCAGAGAGAATTAGTTTTTTAACTCCAGTTGCCACGGCAGCGGGTACTTTGTGTTCTAAACCACCGACCAAACTAATTTTATTTCATGAAAGACTATTGATGGGATCCCTAAATATTTCCTCCTCAAAACATCAAGGACAACAGTTACTACTTTATGCAAAACTCTTGTCAGTATTCTCGAATTGAAAATAATTTAAGCAACTTTTAAAATACTTGGCTAAACCCTCTTTTTGAATTTCAGTTATTATCCTAATAATGGCATTTCTTAATTCTTCTTCGGTGGTTGGTCTTTGTTGTCTAACATATTGCTTAATCACATTAAAAATTTCCTCCACTGGATTTAATTGAGGAGAATAAGGAACTAAATAGATAGGTTCAATATTTTTGTTTGCCAACATTTCTTTAACTTCCTTTGAGTAGTGAAACCTAATGTTATCCAGTAAAAGATAAAATTTTACATCATCAGGGAGGTTTACATTAGAGAAGAAATTAGCAAAAATCTCAGCATTAACAGCTCCTTTAACTAATTCTCAATGAATTAATCCTCCTTTATCTGTGTTTTGAATAAGTAAAATCAAACTGTAATTACCACCACGATTACCTGATTTATGAGCCAAAACTCGTTGACCTTTTAAAGCATAGCCACGAGTAGGAGCTAAGTTTAAAGGAAATCCACTTTCATCAGTTGCCAAAAGAAGATTTGTTTTTAGTAGAGGCTTAATCATCTCTACAAAGTCTCAAATTTTAGGTAGGAGTGATTTTTGTTCTGAATAACGATAAGGAATTACTTTATAGGCAATTTTGATTTTCCGTAATGCTCGGGAAATAGTTGATTGATTTACTTTCAAACCCATTTCTTGAAAAAGATAGTTAACCATATCTTTTTGAGTTGTTCTGTTATTTTTGAAGACATAGGAATATAAAACTTCAAGAATACTACCGAGAATTTTGGGTTTTCGTCCAGTTTTTAGGGGAATGGATTGGTTAATTATTTTTCTTCTTCGATAAATAGTTCTTTCACTAACCCGAGCAATGTTAACAATAACTTTTGGGGTTAAACCTTTTGCTATCATCTCATTTATTTGCCGAGCAGAAAGTTTTAACTTTGCTTCCTTGATAGGTTCACTGTCTATCTCTTCAATTCCTTGAATGTTCTTCCCAAGTAATTGAGTTAATGCTCTTTCTCCTTGGTTTTCTTTACCAACATTATCAATATCTTGCTCGAAAGATTGGTAGAATTTAGGATGCTTATCACTTTCTAAAAGATTTAACTTGCCCAGTAAGTGAGGAATGTAGGTCAGTTGGTGATTATTTAAAAAGTAATCTTCACATCCTGTTTTAAGGTTAATGAAATCATATTTATAGAATTTTCCATTTTCAAGTCTTGTTTCACCAATAATTTTGGCAAGATACTCCATAGATTATATTATATATCTTATATATATAATAAGTTATAAAAAAGTTCTTTTAACCTTTCTTCTCACTTTCATCAAATTTCTTGTATCCTTGTTGGTATTCCTCTGTCCGAGAGTAAAGAATATGTTGTTTAATTTCATTCAAAGCAGTTCCCTCTACCGAAAAACAGTAGCAGACAGTTGCTTTATCTGGTTTTCCTACTAAGGTTTCAACATTACAACGAGAGCAATAACAAGGCAATAATAATAATCTATTGTTTCAAATTTGCTTGTGCTTTTCAAGAAATTCAATTGAGCAATGATAGCAGTAATAAAAAGTTGCTACTTTACCAGCCTCATTACTAGGAAACTAATTCTGTTTTGTTAGGAAAAGTTTCTCGGTGAGTATCCACACAACCATGAAGATTTAAAGTTTTTGTTGCCATAATATTGCTTTACTATTTATATTACAACAACTGGTTTTTTAATATAATTTTATAGTAAACAACACCCAAAGACTATACAATCAATTAACACCTGAACAAGATGTTTCTATTATTTCTAACGATTTTCTTTTTATAGTTTTTTGTGTGTCTTTCATATTCTATAAATATACACTTCGAATACCCTCTATAATTCTTTTTATTTCGTGTTTGCTATGTGTATCAGCTTCGTGCCAATCAATGACTGTTGAAGAATATTTCCTGTTAGGAGTTTCGTTTGACAACCAACAAATTTCATAAGTTTTTAAACTACCGTAAGCCCAAGTAGAACCAAAACTCAAATCATCAGAAAATTGTGAGCTTTGTCCAAATGTTTTCTTGTATAATTGGTATTTCTTGCTTGATTTATTGCTTTGATTGTATTTAGAGTAAGAAGAATCAAAACTGGTGTCATGAACAAACTTATCTCACCAACCTTGTTCTTTGGCTAGTTCATTCTTAGTAGTGGTTAATTGAGTATTAAGACTACTAACTTGATTAGTTAAATTAGTGATTTGAGTATTCTTTTGATTGATAGCACTATTAGCAATGGTTAACTGACTTTGGATACTATTATAATTGTTCTGTAAACTATTAAACTCGGTTAATGTTTTTCTTTGATTTCAATCACTATTTCAAACAGCAAGAGTAATATTTGGTCGGTTATCCCTTTCATTTCTTACTTGATTTCTTTCTTGGGTTAAAGTAGTTATTTCATTATCCTTATTTGTTAATTGAGTTCTTAAATCAGTTAGTTCGGTTTGAATATCAGTAGGAGTTTTGTCAACAAAAGAAGTAGCTCATTTATCTAATTCATCTTTTAACCTAACTACCTCATTTTTTAAATCTTCCACTTCTTGATTGTTTAAGTCAGTCTGTGTTTCTTGCTCTTTCACTATAATCTTACTAGGATTAACTAAAATAATTTCAGTTTCATTCTCGACAGTAATGCCACCGAAACTAGGTTCTCTTTCCAATAAATTAGGAGACAAATAAAGAGGATTGATTATATCTTCACCTTTAACTAACTTCAATTTTTCTAATAAATTATGAGGAATATCTAATTGAATTCATTTATCTTGATAAGTAAAGCCATATCTTTCACATAAGGGTTTGTTTCTTCATTTGGGATTAGTGGAACACATGTAATTTCCTTCTTCTGGTTTTATTTCTAAATAATTAGTAGGAATTTGTTGTTTGAATTGAGCAATTAATTCTTCGATAGTTAGGTGTTCAGAAGTTATTTTTAACTCTTCAAAGAAAAGAGGTAGATTATTGATTTGTGGCATGATATATTGTTAACTTTATTTTATTGAAGTTAACTTGGGCTTTATTTATCTACGAATACAAGTAATAATAAGCATGATAACCCAATTTAGGATAAAGTTTGTTTCCCAAAACTGAACTGCCATAACCTTTGCTTTCCAGCTCTTGTTTACTAGTGTTTTTATTTACACCATTTCTTCTAAAAACCTCTAAAATCATATCTTCTTCACTAGTAAGCATTCTAACTCTGTTCTGTCTTTCACCTAATTCTAAATTGTATAAATTCTCCGAAGCACTTATTAGACCTTGAATTAAGGAAGATAAAAAAGGATATTTGCTTTTGTCTGTTGAATTTCAGAAGTTTTTCAAGTTCTCTTTATGAGTTAAAAGATTAGCATTATAAACATTTGGGTTGTAAATGCCTTGGGAAATTAATGGTATTAAATAAGAACCAATTATTTGCTTTTCCTCTTGGGTAATAACTAATGGTTTAACAGAAGCAACAATCAAACCTGTATAACTAGACCAAGGAAAATTAATTCGAAAATCACTTAGTTCTTTCAACAAATTATAAATGACACGAGTTGATTGTTGTTGTATGATATTAGTAGAAGAAAATTTATAAGCAACACCATGAGGGCAATGATATCAAAGATTTGGAACTAAGTTGTCTAATTCAACTGCTATACTATTTCAAGCACTGTTTAAACTGTTTCTTTCAGTTTCAGCAGTAGTTTTTTGGTTGATAATAGCATTATACTCTACCCTAGTTGGTCTTGCTACATAATCATTGGTTCACTGGGCATCAGTAATGTAGGTTCCATCAGCAAGAATTGTTTTTGCTCTTCTGCTGAAATCATTGTTTCAATCAGCAATAGAAAGAATTGTGTTAGGAACACGAGCATCTCTTTCGGCTCGTAAGTTAGCAATTTCTTGGTCTCGGAGATTTTCACTAGCAGTCTTAGCATCCTCTAAATCCTTCTTTGATTTAACTAAATCTTTTCTTTCTTCGGCTAATCTTTTAATGTCTACTTTTAAATGAGTTTGATAGTCTTTACTTTCCAACTCCTCAATTCATCTACCTAATCCATCGAGAGTTTCTCAACTTTCCAAAGGAATTTCTCCCCTTTTTTTCTGTCTAGCAATCTCCAACTGCTTCTCTCATTCAAGACTATTTGGAATTTTTCTTTCAGCATCTAGTTTTTTAGTTAAGTTATCAATAATGTTGATTTGGGTTTGGAAAAACACAGCACTACCTTTAATAGTTTTATCTAGTTGAGTAATTCGATTATCCTTTTTAGTAATTTGAATGTTTAAAGTGTTGATTTGATTATCTTTGTTAGTTAATTGTAATTCATTAAGTTCTTTAACTCTCTTTAAACCATCTCTTTCAATAGTTAGTTGATTTTTCTCATTAGTAAGATTAGTTTTCTCTAAGTTAAGATTTTTAACCTCCTCATTTGCTAAATCATAAACAGTTTTTCAACTAGCAGCATCATTTTGGGCATGAGCAAGTCTTTGTTCTAACCCTTTTACTACCTCAGGAGACCATTTTATCATATCATATAAAGTTCAATAATCAGCATCAGTAGTAGGTTTATCAACCTTTTTTAACAATCATTTCAATCGGTCAAGAGTATTGAGAGGAGGATTTTTACCATAATTACCTAAACAAACCCAAATCTTCTTAGTAAATTCACGAGTATCGTTTAATAATTTTCAAGCTTTCTCACAATTAGCATTAGCAGTGTTGGTTTGACTTTCAAGCTTAGTTTTTTCGTTTCCTCATTCAAGTTTTTCCTTAGCCAATTCAGCTGTCAGAGTATTTACTTGTTCTCTTAATTTAGAATTGTCTTCAAATAATGCTTCTCTTTGTTTTAACAAAGTAGTGGCTTGCTCATGGATTACTTTATAAGCTTTTTTCAGAACTACATTATTATTAAGAACTCTATCAGGGTTTTTTTCAATATTAATTGGTTTGTCTCCAAAATAGATTTGGAGTTGGGGATAAAGGGATGTTGTTGTTTTATTTTTTGCCATATTATTCTACAAAAGTTTATCTCAACAACTGGTTTTTATTTAATGTAATTTTATTTCTTATTCTCTTGTTTCTTTTTAATTCAAGAGTAAGAAATTACTCCGATGATAAGCAACAAAACAACAATCCCTCCAATTATGTAAGGAGTTCAATTAAAGGGCTTTTGAGTTTGGGGACTTTGTGATTTCTGTAAATCACTCAAACTTAAATTAGTTAGTCCTTGGGCTTGACAATAAGATTGAATTAGTTGTAATTCTTGGTTATCGATGGGTTTAGTTTCCGTTGGAGAATTGTTATTATACTCAATTAGCAGTTTATCCCCTTGTAAAGTAATAGATTTGATTTTGTGTTTGGTAAAATAACTCAAAATGCTCTCTCTCTCTCTCTCTCTCTCTGTCATTAGGATTATCTTTACCAGTTAATTTTTCTAATTCTTTTAACTCTTCTTTTTCTTTATCATTGGCATGATTACCTAACATTTTGAGTTTTTTTATTTCACAATTAGGACACTCATTATAAAACTTTCCCTTTCTATATTTGAAAAGAAAATCAACATAGGCTTGATTAAATTGAAAAGTTTTGCCACAACCATCAAGTCTAATTCCACTCATTTCATTTCCACATTCCATTTGGCAATTATGCTTGATAATATATTTACCATTCTCCGTTTTGTGGCTTTGTATGTCTAACATTTGTTTAGAGCAACGACCACAATGAACACCCCCCTCCATTCCTGGGTCAGACATATCTCCAACATAACTATAAGTTCTTGTTGAAAAAAAATTATCTCATAATTCTCCTTGTCTATCTAATTCACCTAAGCAGTTTTTACAAACACTACCATGCTTTTTATTAGTATATCAAGTAAAACTTTGACCACTATAATCGTAGATTTGAGTTTGACATTTACTACAAAAATTATCTCCAATTCCATGGACTTTGCTTTTGTGGTCTAGTAATTTCACTCTTAATTTACGATGATAGTCTGCTGATGGATAAAATTGACTACCCATTCCAAAATCTTTACTTTGTTTATCGGTAAATTCTTCCCCACACTCTCGACATTTCACAGTATAGATAAGACTAATTTTTCCTGCTTGGTTATCTATAACTTGCTTTTCCGTAATTTTTTCCTCGTTGTTGGGGTCTGACATATAATTATTATTTTTAACACCACCTCAACAAAACCAAAATTTTTTTAATCTATTCTTTTAGACTAATAGTTAAAAACTGAAAATGAGTAAAATTATAATATAAAAGCAAAAAAGTTATGAATAAAACTGATTTACTAACTCAACAAATAACAGAAAGGGTTAGGGAGATTATTACTAGTCCCCAAAGTGGTTATGAGAAGAGGATTGCTTTGTTCGAATACTTAGAAGGTTTGGAAATAGGAGATTTACAACCCCAAGAAAAAAATAGAGTAGATTGCCTATTACAAAGCCGTTTGCATAATGAATTAGCTAAAAAATACATGAAAGAATATAAAAAATTAACTGTTGATAATTTTAGTAAAGCAGAATAGTTCTATTGTTGTTCTTAATAATTTTTGACATTAGTTTTGCATAGAGTAGTAAGTTTCGAATAGTTCCCAATATCAAGAAATCCAGTTGCAGCAACTTTGCAAGAAATAGGCTTTTGATAGCAAGCACTGAGAAGAGCGAGATAAAAAGGTAAAGTTCCAGATTCCCCACCAATTGGCATGAATTTATGAATGTTAACCATCGAAGAAAAAACATTACATTTTCACTCTTTTTCTCTTTGTAATATTCTCCAAATAAAAAATCCAACTATTATTCTTTCATAAGCATTATTTTTTTTACCCTTTCCACAAGGAAAATAAAAACTGTCAGGCTTTTTATGTACTCTAAAAAGTTCCATGAAATTATGCGAACAAATAGAGGTGGTGCATGGAGCCAAAAAAACCAATTCTTCCAAAACATTACCAGCAGAAATCCTTTCTTGCGAATTACTTTCGCCAACCTTCCCCCCTATAACGGTTAACTCCTTTATAATCCCTACCCTCTTTTCTTCTTTCAAATCGGGTAAATTAACTCTACCTATTAATCCCAGATTCTTGATTTTATCTAAATCTCCATAACCTTTTTTTTTAATGTTTCTTCATTATCAAAAGTTAAACTATTATCCTTTTTAGCATCTATACTAACAATAAAATCCTGGGCTATTTTACATTCTTGTAAATGTTTTTCTGCCAAAGAATTAAGAACTGGCCTCGTTATCGTTTGATTAGGCTTAGGATGACTTCCTCCTCAACCAATTATTTTGCCACAGTAATCACATTCTCATTCAGTAAGGAAGCGGATAGCGTCTCTTCCTGAATCATCATAATGAGGACAAGCCTTTTCTTTCACTTTCTTAATTTTACTTTCGATTTTGAATGCTTCTCCAAGCAAGAGAAGAAAAATAACAAAAAAGAATATTATTAAAAATTTAAAAATTGATTTAAGACCAGAACTTCTTCTCAAAACCTTAGCAGAAAAACTTTTTCTAATGGAAATTTATTTTCTTATTAATACTTTCTCCGTTTTCATAGTACCTGATTGCCTGTCTTAAATTATTTTTTACATAAACTCCGCACTCCTCTGTTAGAGCTTGAGCAGTAGCCATCGAAATAGTTCCCCTTTTTTTTTACCTTTGTGTAATATTGGCAGAGCAAATAAATTTAGGCAACAACCTACTTCTGTATTTTTCTAAATTATCATTTAATGAGCGAAATCCATAAGCCAGTAATGTTAAATGAGGTAGTAGAATACCTGAAAATAAAAGAAAATGGAATTTATGTTGACTGCACTTTTGGTGCTGGAGGACACTCTCGAGCCATATTAGAAAAGTTGAAAAATGGTAAACTAATCTCTTTTGATTGAGATAAAACAGTTAAAGAGGTAATTGAAAGTAAAGAGATATTTACCTCTCCTCAATTTCAATTGATTTTCGATAACTTTGCTAATTTAGAAAGCCATTTAGAAAGTCAAGGTATTAAAGAGATTGACGGGTTTTTATTTGATTTAGGCCTCTCATCCAGCCAATTATCCGCAGAAGAAAGAGGATTCAGTTATCGACTAAATTCTCCACTTGACATGAGAATGAATCAAGAAAACAAGTTACGAGCCGAGGAAATTATTAATAATTATCCTCAAGAAAAATTAGCCGATATTTTTTACTACTATGGAGAAGAAAGAAAAGCTCGCACCATTGCTCGGAAAATCTGTTACTGGCGGCAAAAGGAAAAAATTACCAGTATTCAACAATTGGTAGGAATAATTGCTTCTTGCTTTCCTAAAAAAAGAAACAAACATCCTGCTCGCAAAGCATTCCAAGCACTAAGAATATATGTTAATAAGGAATTGGAAAACCTCTCCCGAGTCCTAGAAATTGCTACCAAACATCTTGCTCTAAAAGGAAGAATTATTGTCATTAGTTATCATTCTCTTGAAGACAGAATTGCCAAGCAAATATTTAAAAAATATAATTCGCTTGGTGGCTTTCAACTAGTTAATAAAAAACCTTTGGTTCCGAACCGAAAAGAAATAGAAAAAAATTACCGAGCCCATAGTGCTAAAATGAGAATTTTGGAAAGAGTTAACTAGACTTTCAAATCCAATAAAACTATACGGACTATTTTTTGATCTCAATATCATTCAGTAATTAACCAATTATACTAAAATAATCATATGTTAATAACATTATCAATTTTACAAGCAATCCTTCTTGCCATATCATTTTCTGCGTTAGGCTTCGTAATTGGTTACTTAGTCGTTAACTATTTTGCTAAAAAGCAACTCCAAAAACTCCAAGAACAAGTAGAGTCAGCTAGCAAAGAACAAATAAGAAACACATTGGCCTCTCTTGGTCAAAAACCTTCCGAAGAACAGATAAACAGGATTATTAGCATGACTGAAAGTGTGAAAAAGAAAAAAGAAGAAAAAAAGGTTCAAAAAACTAGAAAAAAGAAAAAATAACGGCAAATGCGAGTTAATCTATTTCTAAGTTGCGGAAGTTGTTCTAAAAAACATCGAAATTATCGAACTTCTAAGGCTAAAAAACCGCAAGGTGGTAAACTAAGTTTAAAGAAGTATTGCAAATTTTGTCGAAAAACCCAACTTCATAAGGAAGAAATTTCCAAATAAAATCCCCCTAAATCCCACTGTTCTTTTTCGCTGTCTGTTTTTCTTATAACAAGATATTATCTTTATACATAGGAGTTAAGAGTATTATTAAGAGTATGTTTTTTGCTAACTTTTTATTATATAATTATTTTAAAAGCAAATACTAACTAGTTTTTCTAAATAATCTAAAATTAGAATAGTTTACTTAGAAAAAGTGCTTAATTTTAGAGGGTTTTTATAGATTAGTATAGTTTAGTATTGCTTTTAAAAATATTCTAATAAATATTAGGGGAGTTTTTAGGCTCCCCTTTTTTTATTTGGGTGGGATTTGGATTTGGGATTGGAATTGAGTTTGTTCTTCCAATTCCTTTAATTTTACTTTTAATCTGTCAATTTCAATTTTTCTCTTTGACTTTAACTCTGGTCAATCATACTTTCTTTCAAATTGTTCCACTCGCCGTAGAAATTCTCTCACTCGCTCTCGAAATTCTGAATTCTCTTTTAATTCTTTATTTTCGTCATCTTTTATTAGATTTAATAGTATTTCTTCAGTTTTAATCATTTTATCAACAACATCACTTCATTTTAATTCAATGTTTTCAAGTTCTATAGATTTTTTAACTTCTTCCGTAAAACTTCTTTCAACATTCATTCCAATAACACTTTCTGCAACGTCTACTGCAACTTTTCCAATAGGATCTTCTCTAAAGCCTCCTAAAACTCTTCCAACAATACCTTCTGCAAGACCTAATCCAAGTTCTTTAAAAAGAGTTTCTACATTACCATCTTTTTTATAAGCTCTTTGAAAAGCTTCTACATTTCTTGCTCCGCCACCTTCTATTCAAGCCTTTTTAGTATTTTCAACTTGGGGAGCAAAAGGTGTTCCGAAAACACACATAGTAACAAAGTGTTGACAATTTTTTTTAAATAAATCATATTCACCTTCACCATAATTGTATTTAACGGTTAAATCAATGTGAAAATTAATTGACTCGGGATCACAGAAAGGTATAATAGAACGATATATAAACATTTTTTGGTCACTCACATTTTTTTTTAGGAATTCATCTAAAGTGTTAAACTGGGCTTTAAGTTGGGCTTCATCTTCTTCTTCATTTTCTTTTTGCTTGCTACTAATGTGTGCTACTTGTTGTGTTTCTATTTCTTTCCCATTGACAAATTTCCTAGAAGGATAATATATAGCAGCATGCCTCAATTCGAAACCTTGAAAGGCAGAATTCCAAATTTTATCATTATTATCTTTCATAACAATGTTAATAATATCATAGGGTCTAAGTAGAGAACATACTTCTTCTTTATTCATTGATATTGTGTCCATAACATCCTTAAAACGTATTGCGTTATATTTATCATCAAGCAAAGCCAAGATAGGGTTTCTACTATTTAAACTTATTAAAATTGGTTGAATTTCCCTACTCACCTCCTCTGAATTGCCGGAAAAGACCTCTATATGATGAGGCTTTAATTCACCATTAATACCTTTTTTAGATAAAAATAAATAAATTTTGTATTTTTCCATCTCTGTTTTACTAGTAACCAAAAAACAATTATCATTAAATCATGTTTCAAAAGGAATTCTTTCTTGCTCTATTTCATTATTTTTTTCAATTATTATTTCTTTTAAATATTTTTTCATATTATTAGTTGGCATAACATTTTATTTTATTTATAACTTATTAAATAGTAATTTTTTAGTTGATAAAAAACTTTTTATTGAGGAAGAGGAACTTCTATTCTTGCTTGACTCTGAATATCTTTAAGATATTTAGTTACTTCACTCCGCAAGTTCTTTATTGTCTCTTCTAAATTATTGTCTCAGTTTATTTGTGCATTTTTTAAATTTATAATTAATTGTTCTATCTCATTTTCTTCTAATAATCTTTCTCTCTTATCATTTGAAATATCTAAAGATTCATCAACATTTGATTTATTAATCTTTCCTAAGAAACCAATAAGATCATCTTTTAACTCTTTTGGAATAAAATTAACATCATCACTTAACAGAGAGATTTTCCAAAAAAGTTGAGTTGCTTCCAATTTTAACATTTTGTCGTTGATTTTATTTTCTATTTCATCATCAGAAAGTTCTTGACGATATTCACTTATTGCCTCTTGAAGAATTTCCATTAATTTTATAATTTCTTCTTTCTCAATCCTCTTTTTTTTTCATTTAGTTTGTCACATTTCTTCCGCTCTTTCATTATTTCCAGTAATTCAATAAACAACATGTTCTTTTATACCTTTAATTTCTTTCGAATAATGCGGTTGAACTCCTCAAAAATTAGGTTCCAAACTCTTTAATAAACTAGATTCTGTTTCTTCTAAGTTATTATTGCTACTGACATTTTTTACAAACTTTACTACTCTTTCTTTTACCAATTTAAGTAATTGATTTAAGGATTTGTTCAATAAGTCAGAATTACTAATAGGTTTGAGGATTTCGGCTAACTCTTGATAACTTTCATAAAGGATTTTGGTATCTTTTTTTAGTTCATCTCACTCCTTACTCTTTTCTGCAGTTCTAAAAATCCTTTCTTTAGTATGGGAAAGAACAAGATCAGCATATAAACAAACTACAGCAGTTATTCCTCCTGCTTCCTTATAATTTTCATTGTTTGTTAAAAATAAACTAGCACCCACTGCTGCCGCAGCTCGATTTAGATATTGATAAATTACATAATCTTCTCCAGTTGATGATGAAGATGCCAAGGAAATTATTTTTTCAGCATCCCAATTATCATGATATTTTTTCATATCACGATGAATAACATATAATCTTTCAAGAGGAATAGCTTGAACTATTTTCGATGTGTTTACCATATTTTTATTTATTTACTTTTATTATGTTTGCTTAAAAAAATGTTTTACAATCACCACTCGGAACTTAATCCAAATTATAGCAAATTAGGTAGCAATTGATTTTAAGAAGTTATATCTAATTTGCTATTTCTCTCTCTTCTGACCATAGGCACACTATATTTATAATATTTTTAAATAAAAAAGTGCTGCGCGATGTAGTTTTTTTAAAATTATCTATTATGTTAGCAAAAAAAAAAAAAAAAACTAGTTGGGAGTGCTAGTTTAGTTAGGGGATTTTAGAGTATGGCAAATGATAAAGTATGCAGTAAGTGTAGTAATCTTGCCCTCTACCATGATAAATGAGAACAATTATATTGTGAAAAGTGCTACTGAGAAAAAGATGAAGAGACTAAAATAGAAGCAAAAAAGAGGTCTTGGAAAACTTATGATAGTGCTCCTGACACATTTATTAGATGTCCTAACTGTTTTTGTGGAGATACCTGTGGTTATAGTTATAACCGAAAAGGATTAGACTGTATATCTCAAAGTTGCGGTCTTTTTCACCCCAAAGGAAAATCAAACTGTATTACTTGTAAGAAAGAGGAAGAAGAAAAGAGAGAGCAAGAAAATCAGCAAAAAGATTCTGAAATAAAAAAAGAGCAAAATAAAATTGGAGAAGAAATTCACTCGCTTGTTGAAAAAAGTATTAAAGATTACCGAAAATTAACTACTGATGACTACCAAAAAATAAAAAATCTGCAAGAACAAATTAAATCTTTAAGAAAAAAAAATAGTAGATGAGAAGGAGATGAAGAATTACAGTTATTCAAAAAAGAAAATCAAGAAGTGTTAAAAAATTTAGAAGAACTAGTCCCATCAAGGATTAAAATCCAAGTTAACTACGAAAAGGAAAGGTGTTATGTGTGCCAAGATATTCATCGGTCTAGTAAATTTCAATGAGAACGAGAAGAAGGAGAAAATCCCTATTGTGGTGTTTGTGGAAAAAGTGACATAAATAGTCATTCATTCTTAAAAGCACTTCAGAGTTTCTATGCTAGAAAAGTCCATGACTGATTATGGTCTAAAAAATTAAGAGTTCGTTCCATTCTAGTAAAGACAAAAGGAATTTACAAAAAGTTATCGGAATATGAATATACTCACTTTAATGAAGTTCACTCTGCTTATCGTGAGATTGAAAAAGAACTCGATGAAATAGCAAAACAGAAAGGTTTTGATATAATAGATAAGAGAGAGAGAGAGAGAGAGAGAGAGAGAGAGAGAGAGAGAGAGAGAGAGAGAGAGAGAGAGAGAGAGAGCAAAATTGGAACAGGCTATTCAGAATTTAGAAAACAAATCTGATAAAACTCCGGAAGAAGAGGAAGAATTAGATAATTTGAAGAATAAAATTAAAGATTTAGATAAAAAACAAGAATCTTCCCCTACTTCTTATCTTCCCTGAATAATTGGAGGGGGTTGTCTAGTTGTTGTATTGGTTCTAATAGTTTTTATTTTCTACAAGCGAAAAGCCAGAAAATAATTATTTATCATCTTTTAACAATTTATATGCCATATAACATCCTCCTACTATTATAATATTTTCCAAAGTAATATAATCTAATATCCCATTACTTTCTTTATTTAAATTAGAGGCAATTTGAGCGAGGATACTTTGATTTTTTTTAATTTCTTCTTCATTTTCTCTTATTTTTTCATTATTATTATCCAACTCTTTTTTATATTCTTCGTTCTGAGATATAATTAATGCTAATTGCTCTTCCAATTTTTTCTTCTCTTCCGGAGAGAGATTAGGATCTTTTAATCTATCACGAATTGTCTCTTCTTGCTTTTTTCCTTTTTTAAGCAAATTAAAGATTTCATCATTTCTTTTTTTAAAATCACTATTGTCTTTCATTAGATTTTCAATTTGCTTTTGTCTTTGCTCCACTTCTTTAGAACTTATCGCCAATTTTTCTCTTTTAGTATCTTCTTTTCTTCAATTACTTATTCCATCACTGACAGCCTTAAAAAGAGCAAAAAGACCTCCTACAATTAAAACTGCTGATTCTGCTACTGGCATATTATTTCTTACAGTTGCTTTTTAGATTAGCAATAACTTTTATTTTTTTTTGTTTATTTTTCATAGTTTTTACTTATTTATTTGTTTCTTTATTTCTGATAATTTTTTAGTAAGATTAGTAAGGATAAGGGTATAGTTTTTAATTTGGTCGGTTCAATTGGTTAGTAATTTTTGGGTTTCTTTAATTTTATTTTCTATTATTTGTATTTGTTGATTATTCATAGGTTCTAACTGATTTTTTGTCTTATTTCTTCCAATTTTCCTTCTATTGCTGTTGTGTGCTGAATTTTGGCACTTCGGACCGTTATTCTAAGTTCTTCAACTGATTCAGAAAGCTCTTTTAAACGAGTTCCTAACACTTCTTCTATTTTTGGTTGGCGAGGGTTGACAAATTTGCCATCAAAACTTTCTAGTTGCTTACTATCATATAATCTTCAAAAGAATTCAAACATTTCACCTCATTTGATTTTGATTTTTTTCTGTTCCTGATTTTCTTTTTGCTCATCTCTTTCCAGTTCATATTCAGCATCAGGGTTAGTAGAAATAAACTTTTCTCAGAAATGCAAGAAATCTTTGTCAAAAATAATTTTATTAAACCTATTTACTCATTTATTGTCTTCATCGTTTAATGTTGAATCTTTTAACCAGTGACTAGGAAACTTTTCACTAATATCGGCTCTGTCAGCATATCTCATAAAATCTCCTAAGGTTCAACTGAAACATAGAGGATTGCTTAATCTACCCGGTTGATAAACAGCCACATCGATTTGGTCTATATGATTTGTAGCCATAATCCATAAATTGTGACTCTCATTTATCCTATTATCACTACCCATGCACTCTTTCAAAAAAGTTAGTCCAGTAGAACTAGACAGTAAAGTGCTAGTAGTTATCTGATTTGCTTCATCTACAAAAAGAATATATCTAACTTCTCCATCTTCTTCTCTTTCAAGACCGAAATTATCTGTTAAAGTAAAATCAATATCGCAGAGAGTAAAAATGAACTTTGCTAATGGATCAATACCAGCATCGTAATCATTTTTACGAGGGGTTAAAGTAGAACCCTGAATTACTACTAAGGGATACATATCTGCTTCATAGGCTAATTTCTCTGCCATTACTGATTTGCCAGTTCTAGGCGCTCCATAAAAAAGAGCATTATTATCAAGTTTAGTATTAGGATCTATTTCTCCTCTAACTGGATTTGTTTTTACTCTTGTTTCTCATTCCTCTATTAAAGAACTGAATTTGTAAGTTGGCACATCATCTCCTAATATAATTTCTTTGGCTTTTTCATGTGATTTTTGTGCTCCGCTTAATCTATTTCAAAGAGAGGGAGGAAATTTAATTTCGTAAGAGGCATTGATATTTAACTTGTTTAATCCCCTTTTTTGTTTTTCTTTTCATACTTCATCAAAAGTTTGAATGTTATTGGCTAATCATTTATCCGCCCAACTACGCTTTTTCATCAACTTTCTTTTCCAGTGCAATCCTTGCTTTTTAACCCTTTCTTCGATGATTAATTCACCGGCTTCTTTTTGTAAAGTAGAAATATTGTTTACTCTTGCTTTTTTAACCTTTTTAGAATAATCTTCAATAATTTTTTTAAAGGTTGGTTGATTTAATTCTTCTGCTGTGCAATTATCCTCTAATTCTTTAAGGGCTTTTTTCTTTCTTTCTTTTTCATCATTATTTATTGCTTTTTTTTCCTCAATTGCTTCTTTTACTTTATGAGTAAAGGAATTAATCTGAGAACCCAAATACAAACTATCTACATACTCTTCTCAGTTCTCTTTAAACTTTCATAAACTAGCATCTAATTCACTAACAGATATAGTTGGATTAGCCTGAAATAGTTTTCTAATCTCGGATTTGGTTTCAGTTCTTTTTCTATCTAAGTAGATAAAGAAATAGTATCCTATTCCGGCAATTAGTAGAAGAATTAGTATTTGCTGTTGTTGTTTATCTTTTTCAGTCTCCGGTTTTAGTAATCTTTGAAATTTTTGCATATTATTCTCGCAATTTCTTTAAAAACTCGGCTCTTTTAAGTATCCGTTCTTCCGCTAAGGCTTCTATTTTTTTTCTTTCTACTTCTGTAAGTTCCCTAGGCTCTGGGTATTCTTTTTTTAGTAATAGGTAAATAGTAATTAGTAATAGGTAAAAAAGAACTAAGATTAGAGTACCCCTTTGCCAGGGTTCTAAATAGCCTTCTAGTTTCTGAGTAGCAGTTGCTAACTGTTCTTTTATTTTTGCTGGAATTTCATTAGTTTCATTAGTCATAAGTTAAAAATCATAGTAATTAGGTTCTTCTTCTTGGTGGGTATAGAAGTAAACAATAAGTAGTAAAATAAGACCGGTAACAATGATTAAATGTTGATTGTTTTGAAATCAGTTTGAGTTGTTATCATTATTAGAAGTAGTTTCATCACTAGAATTATCATCACTTTCACTATCAGAAGAACCGGAATTATTTTCTCCGCCTCTTACTGTTCTCTTGTTCAATCCTTTAATAAAATCAGAAACATACCTATCAGAATCAAATCTTAAATTAGAAGTAGGAATTTTTTTCTGTTTTTCCAAAATTTCTTTTAACTTCTTACCATCATCTTCAATCATTTGCAAAAGAAGGGCTTTTTGAGTTGGGTCGGTTTCTTTTTCTGATTTTGCCTTATTTTCTTTTATTCTACCTTCGATTTGTTTCTGTTTTAATCTCAATGACTTTAATTCCTCATAATATTTGTATCTTTCTTTGCTAATATCTTCTCTCAGTCTCCTTATTTTACTTTGCAAAAGTTTTATCTTACTTGTTGTAAAATCTTGGTAATCATCTCAAATAATACAAATACCAAATACAGAATTGGCATTACCAGAACTATTAAGTTTTTCTTGCAAACCTCTTTCTAATTCTTCGGCTTGTCTAATTGATCTGGATTTAACTGAGTTAAATTCTTGTTCGCTAGTGCATTTTCTTAGTTCTTGTTCAACATTTTTTAAACTGTCTAATTTATTAAGATTTTGAGCTAGAGTTTCACAATCTTCTTTTAGATTATGACTACCACCTCAGTTGCACTTTCCGCCAGTTCAATAGCCGGCATCTTTTTCATATTTTTTGTTGCCTCTATCTTTCCTAGAAATTCTTGATAAAGCTATATCTCTAAAAAGTCTCTCTAATTCTTCTGCACTATAAGTCATAATTTCTTAGTATTTAAAAACAATAAAGGGTAAGTAAATTAAATTGGTCGGTAAAATTAATCTTGGGGATGACAATTCCTAATTCAAAGGTGATTAGTAGTTCTATCTTTAAATCAGAAAATCAGTCTATATTTTTTGTCTTTATACGGAATTCCATTACAAAGATAAACTTTTCTCTTTCCGGAATAATCAGTAGGGGAAAATCTTTTGTTATTTAACTCTTCTCACAGAATATCTAAAATTAGTTGCTTAGTAATCTTTTCTCTACCTTTCTTTTTCCAAGTATGGTCGGTAATGGTTACTCTGTTTATCTTTTGATTATTAAAAGTGATAAAAAAAGAGTAAGTTCATCTTTTTTCACCCTCAACTGTTTCAGAACTAATTAGTTTAGTGAGCACGGATGCGAGTAGTATTTTTCTTTTCTTTGATAACTATTTCTAATTGGGAAGGGTAAAGCAATCTATTAAGGTAGGTTAATAATCTTTCGAAAGTAAAATAACTAAGGTGGTAATGGAGAATGTCTTTAGTTTCTGCAGTAGTTAAATGAATGCGACGAGCAATTTCTTGAATAGGTAGATTATTATCTTGCTGATAAGTTAGAATCTTTTCACAAATTTTATATTTTGCTTTTTCTAAAGGAGTGGCATCAGTAGGTAAAGCTCAAGAGATATCAGAACCATCATATTCCGGTCTTTCAATTTCTCGAATGTATCTTTCAAATTCTGATGCTGATTTAGAGTCTGCTTTACTTTTGTTTACTCTCAAATTCACTTTTTTCTTAGTCAGTTTTTTTTTCATAATAGATAATAATTCTTTTTTACACTCTGGCTAACTTTTCTAATAGTTCTTTAGACTCTTTTACTATTCTTTCATTTATTACTTT